AACACTAACCCACTTCTTTCGAAAAACACTCAGTTTATGCATCCCTCCGAATCCATCCCCAGAGATCTTTCTTAACCTCAAGGTATATTTGATTAAACCCCCAAGCATACATATAGAAAAATAACCTAGAAAATAATATTACAAATAAATAAAAATAACTTAACAACTTTTTCTTTTGAATCTTGATAATTTGTAGCTCTTCTCCATGATCTTCATAACTTGTAGATTCTTTCAAACATTGCAACTCTCCTTTTTATTTTTTTATTTTTTTTATTATTACTTTTTTCACTCAAAACTAAAAATCCTAGAAAAACATATGCTTAAGAAAGGGGATTTAACTTCAACCTTATTGATTAGAGGCATTAGACTCATGTGGAATGACTACTTAAGCTCTCCTGGATACATTTCTGGTACACAATGCTAAACATGTTGCATTCCTCAAACTAAACAGGGTCGTGTTTTTGTTCCATGATTTCACTAAGATGAGGAGGCCACAAATACATTATAACATATTTTGCCTCAAGTAAACATTTAGGTTCGCATTGAATCATCCCACACAATACTATCATTGAATCCTAATAATGAAAATTGCTATTGATTTTACCTTAATTTCCTGAAATAACCTAGCAATTTTTTTTTCATGATGATGTAATTTTTCAAAAAAATCATACTTACATTCTAATAATGTACCAACCCCCTACCCCACACTTAATGCATGCAATGTCCCAATTGCATGTTATGCAAGATAAATAATAATAAGTAAAATGGGAGAAAAAGGAATAGACTCCCCTGGGATAGAAGTGGTAAGGTTGATTTTCTTCTTTTTGCCCTCTTCAGCTGACTATGGCGTGGGAACGACTTATCCAAGCCTTGGGCGTCATTCGTCTTGTGTGGTTGACATCTCGTAACACAACTGGAAAAAGTACTTTGTAATACTCTTTGAATGGAATCAAGAAATTTGGAAAATACCTGCCTTGAGTAGGTGCAAATCGATGACTTGAATATGTTGACTGAGGCATAAACACGCCTAGTTTATATGGGAAACACGTCGTGGTCTTCTATTGTTCAAACGCAGAATCGCGTATTTTTAACTGAACATGTTGTGTTTAGTTATGACCACGGCATGTTTGATGGTAATTTCGTGACTGGATTGCTTTCTTCTCAACGACGATTCCTTCGTTAAAAAAGGTACCAATGTAGTACACCTTTCTAAATCTTCTGTAAAATACTTCCTTTCGGGTATTATGATCAACGGGTCATCATCTTCACTCAAAATCTTTCTTTTTTCATCAAAAACTCCACCCTCACTTAGTTCTTTTCATTACTTTTTAAATTCGTTCACTTCTAAACCATAATTCTGCAAAAATCAAAAACAACAACCGCGTAATAACAAGGAAAACAAATGCTTAATTAAAATCCTACATTAATCCTACTTTACCAGAAGTTCAAACATATTCAAAAAACCACACATAAACAAATAAAAATAAAAATAGTCTTCAAACAACTTCAAAAAATAAAAACCAAATAGAAAGGATAATCAATCTTCATCTCCTCCTCCAGCTCCACTTCCACCGGCTCCGCCTTGCATTTCCCCCACATTTCATCCTAACTATGTATGTATGGATACGAGGTGGGGTATCCATCCATCCAGTTAATTTGCAAATGTTGAAACAATAGATATGTATGCATATTTATGTAGTTCAAACCACGTCCAATGTTGGCTTGATATCTACGCATGGCCCGTTTTTATAAATCCATAGGCATTTCTTCTTCTGTAGGAATCACCGAGGGTTCCTCGTGCGTGTCATCGGGATGCAACCTCACCCTCCTACCTAGTTACAGTTGCACCTCCGCATCAACCTCGGGAATGGAAAAATTATTACCCTATTGTCTTTTACAATTCTTGCCCGTATGTATAGAAGAACGTTAAAACGACGGGTCGACATCAAAGTTAATAAATTTGCTTCCCTTTTTTCTAATAACCCATATGACTGAGCCAACTTTGTGACTAACATTCCCCCATAAATTGGCACCACTTTCCTATCTTTTGCTGCCCTTTCTGCTACGTATTTCGCCACAAAATGAGGTATATTACAAAAAACTCCCAGCAATAGGATACTCCACTAGAAGAAGACATCAAGGTTTGGAACTTTGTATGCATCCTTCCTCATGTTTATGGTTCTAAATATGAAGCGGTGGATGAGACGGTGAATAGGTGACTGAATGTCATCCTCTTGAGCGGTCCCTGGAATGTCCACCACATTTTTTACAATAGTCCACCAATTTGCCTCGGTCACTCCTTCCGGTAGGGATATGTGGCAAGAATCAAGAAAAATACAAAAACCTTCGGACATGGCATCTAATTGGTTGTACAAACCCAACCTCTAAGACAATTCTGCCACACTACATTCTCGCCTCTCCCCACCTAAGCAAAACATGAGGTTTTCTGTGTCAAAAGCATCCGACCTCCCTCTGAAACTTACTGTAGGAAAAAATTCCAATCATTGCTCCTTGTAGACCGGTTCTTGAATCTGGAACAGTCTCCTCCATCATGTGCACGTTATTCTTACACTTTCACCCATAAATGTTTTTGTTAAATATGGGTTCATTACTTCGACTAGCCCAACTTCTTGAAGCCAATCCCAATTGACCACATTTTCCATATAGAACTCTCTAGTCATCATATTTTCTAATTTGTTCCTCCATTCCAACAACACGGCGGAAGGAACCACCTCGGGAAAATTATACCAAGGAAAATCTGAGTGTTCTTGCGGGCCTTGTGGAGTTCATTGATCTCTCCTCATTTTTCTGCACAATCAAACAACAAAAGAGAAAACCAAACACCAAAAAGAGATTAAAGTAAAATACTTGTAAAAACTGGGCTGAGTGAATGGCAAACACGTCGTGTTTGATGAACAACACGCCATGTTTGTCGAACAGTTCGGCTATGAGGTTCTCCTTCGTAACAAAATTGACCAATTTTACTTCAAATAAGTGCAGGGGTTTGTTCAAAACACTAGGATGTACTCTTAGACACAAGAAAATAAAACCAAAATTCCTAAATTTACCCAAAATTTGAAACCCTAGAAAAATATAGAAAAGTTCCTAAAATCCGTTTTAATAAGAAAATTGACACATAAACCCGTACATACATTCACATTAAACACATTTGGGGATGAAAAATCATACCTTTCTTGAAGAAATTTAGTAAAAACCGATGAACTTGGATATTGGAGTGGTAGAGAGCAAACTCGGCGTGTTGGGGATGTGTGGTTAAAAGTGAAAACACGTTTTTCCTTTTTAGGGTTTTGAGTTTAAATTTTTTTACTGAGTTTAAAAATGCTATAATTTCGGTAACTGAAAATGAAACATGTCGTGTTTATCGACAAACACGCCGTGTTTAATCGTTTAACCTCAATATATCATAAATCTTCGTCTAAGCACTGAGTGGGAACAACTCATCCACGCCGTGTTTGTGGTTTAGAACACAAAAAATTATATGTCTTTTTATAAAGGACTTTACCACACCCTACACTTAGGCCTTGCTTGCCCTCAAGCAACATTCATTATTCGGAGACAAAGAAAGAAAATCCTTAACAAAAACAAAACGAAAGAAAGAAAACGAAAAATTAAAAGAAAGATAAAGGAAAAAGGAATGCAAACTCAAATGGCGGGTTGCCTCCGGCAAGCGCTTCTTTTTTGAGGAGTCTTGAGATGGACTCCTTTCTGCCCTACGTTGTGGCGGATTCCCCCAAGTCCATGCTTTCTCCTATTCTCTCATCTCTTGGTATCCCTTCTTCATAATGTTTTACTCTATGCCTATTGACCTTAAAAGTTGACCCATCTTCATTTACTAGCTCGATTGACCCATATGGAAATACTTGCTTTACTTTGAATGGCCCGACCAACGTGTTCACGACTTTCCGTGAAAAAGTTTCATTCTTGAATTATAAAGGAGGACTTTTTGACCCGCTTGAAACTCCTTGTTTCCATTCAGCCTTGCATCATGCCATTTTTTTGTCTTGTCCTTGTAGGTTAACGAGTTTGTGTATGACTCGTTTCTCAATTTATGCAAGGCATTGATTTGCAAAAGCTGATTTGGGCGTAATTCACTAAGGGGGTGTTTGGTAGAGAGCATTAGGGGCAGAGAAATGGAATGTATTCCACTTCTCTTGTTTGGTTAGTATTTAAAAAGGAGAGAATGAGAAATAATTTAATTCTATTTCCACCTAATTAATTCTCTATATTTTATAGAGAAAATGGGAGAAACAACTCTTGGGAAAAAAAAAGCGGAGAATTGATATCACGCTTGTATCCATCAATAGGGTATCACGTTCGAATCTTCCCATCAACAATTACGCTTCAATATAAGTTGATCTATTCCCTCACTTGCGTAAACCTTCACCATAAACCCTACTGTTGCGTTACTTCTACCCCCATCACGTCAAATTCTTGTTGATCAAACGCTACTCCTATTTCTACTATTCCGCAATTGAAGGTGTGATTTCTTTCATTATTTCTTTTTCATCAATACAATTATACGTGTGTAATTTTATTTGGTTGACGTCTGCGCTTTTTATATGGTTCCAATTTTCTTTTTTGAAAAAGCAATTGTTCATAGGAATACTTTTTTGTTAATCGTTTGTAGATACTTGATTTTATGGTACATAGGATTTCATATGGTTGTTTTAATATTGCATTAATTTCGAATTACAATGATTTCGACAGAGGTGTTTTAGTATGCATTAATTTTCAAATTTATATGTGCACTTTTATACGAATACCTATAAGTAATTTAAGTTTTCAACTTTTCATATTTCATTCTATAATAATACATATATGGCAAATGCGTCACTTTAAATGAAGATTAAATAATCCAATTTACGCTAGTGGATCAAATCCTCACTTTTGTTGAAGAATGTATATGGTGTAGGAGTTGTTAGGAATATTGTCTAATATTTTAGCATTGTTGTGTTTTTTCCTTCATTTTTTTTGTAGGCATGGCAGGGCGAAGCAAACACACATGGACTACTGAAGAGGATACAAAGTTGATTGAAGCATTGTTGGAGTTACATGTATCCGGAAAGTATGGTGGTGCTGACAACGGATTCAAACCCGGTTATTTGAAGGCAGTGCAACAATTACTGGATGTAAGTCGTCCTAACTCGGGTTTGAAAGCAGAACCTCATATTAAATCGAGTATGAAGACATGCAAAAAATCATTTCAACATCGTACACGATATGGTATATGGAACAAACACAAGTGGATTCGGCTGGGATACGAATAAATGTTGTGTTACCGCTGATGCTGAAGTTTGGGATGAGTACATAAAGGTACTATAATGATTATGTTTGTAGTATTTTTATCATATTTAAAACGGATTGTAAATGTATACTAACCAATTAATTTTTTGTTTTTCTTGTAGAGTCATAAAGGTGCTGCATGTTTTCGCGATAAACCATTTCCCCAATTTGATAACCTGTGTAAAATATTTGGTAAGGATAGAGCTACTAGTAATGGAGCTACTGGTCTTGGAGAAGAAGATGTGACTGAAGAGACACAAAGAAACTCACTTGTTGATGTAGAAGGGTTGGAAGATATTGTTGAAGAGACACAACAAATTGCTCGTGTCAATAGTAAATGCAAACGGCCTCCAACAGATGACGCCGAAAGCTCTTATAAGGAAGCAGCGAAAGAAATGAAAGTGACTTTCAAGGAGGTTGGTGAGAAACTTATTGAAACAATATACAATATAGGAAAGCAAGAAAACAAGGAAGCATGTGATATAATAGATAAAGTTGTTGAAGATATACAACGCATGCCAAATATTAATGTCATACAGCGAATTAAGGCGATTGACATATTTAGCAAAGATCAATTTCGCGCCCGAGCGTTTTTTAAGATGACAGAAGAAGAAAAGATTTGTTACATGGAAATGATTGCGGATGGTTCAATATCATGATTAGGTTATTTTAAGTTATGTTTTTTTGTAGTTTTTACGAATAGTGAAGTTCACTCTTTGCACATTCTCTATTATACATAGTTATGTTTTTTTAGTTGTTAGGAATATTGAATTTTACTTTTTGCATATCCTACATTGGACATAGTTTGTGAATAGTATGATTTTCATATTTATTAAAATATATTTTTAAGTTATTTATTTATATTAGAAATATGTTTTCCAATACAAGATGTATATAAAATAATATTAATTGATTAGAAAATAAATTATTTGGTAACAATTAATGTTAAAATGAAAAATTAAAAACATAAAAGATGTGTATTTTGACTAATTAAGATGTAAATCATAATCCATTTTTACAAAACATATTGTTTGAAATGAATAACCAAGGTAACAAAAATTCATTTCCATTTCATTACTTGATACAACCAAACAAGAGAAATGATTCTCAAAAACATTTCTCTGCTGGATTCTCAATTCAACCAAACAAGGGAGTTATTTCTCTTTCTCTAGCTTAATTCTCTTTCTCTGCATTTCCATTCTCTGCTGCAATTCCATTTCTTTGTACCAAACACACCTTAGTTCAAAGTTGCATTTCTTCAACGCCCAATATGCCTTGTGCTCGAGTTCCACCGACAAGTGATAATTCTTCCCAAAAACCAACCTATATGGTGTAGTCCCAATTGGTGTCTTAAATGAGGTACGAAATTCCCAAAGCACGTCATCGAGTTTTTCCGACCATTCTTTCCTATTGCTCCCCACCAATCTCTCCAAAATTATTTTTGTGCCCTATTTGTGATCTCGGTTTGCCCATTTGTTTGAGGATGGTATGGTGTTGCAAACCTATGGTGTACCCCATACTTTTGTAACACTTTTACTAGTTGATCATTAGCAAAATGGGTTCCCCAATTACTTATAAGCGCCTTTGGCATTCCAAATCGAGAGAATAATCTTCTTAGAAACTTCACAACCACCCGAGCATTATTGGTGGGTAGTTCTTGCTCCTCCGCTCACTTTGAAACATAGTTGACTGCCATAAGAATGTACTTGTTCCATCGAGATGTTGGGAATGGCCCCATGAAATCTATTCCCCAGACATTGAATACCTCACAAACCTGGATTCTCTTTTGGGGCATCTCGTTCCTTGCTAAAATATTTCCCGATCTCTATCATGAGTCACACTTTGTCACATAAGTAGTAGCATCCTTGAAGATTGTTGGCCAATAAAAACCTGCATCAAATACTTTCTTGGCTGTATATTGGGCCCCATGATGTCCTCTCGTAGACCTATTGTGACAATGCTTCAAAATATCATTGATCTCCTTTCCAAACACGCATCTTCGAAGGATTTTATCTATAGAACTCCTGAAAAGATAGGGCTCATCCCATAAATAATAGTTGATTTCTGAGAAAATCTTTTTCTTTTGTTGGTGAGTTAACCCCTTCGGAAGATAGCTACCTGCCAAATAGTTGGCTATATTATCATACTAAGGCTTTTCTCCCACTACCACCATCAAGTACTCTTCTGGAAAGTCATCTCCAATACCTCTGTTCTCCATATCTTCCCTTTCAAGATTTTCTAATCAGGACAGGTGGTCAGCCACTACATTCTCCATTCCCTTTTTTTACCAGATCTCGATGTCAGATTCTTGAAGTAGAAGCACCCATCGGATCAGTCTTGGTTTCGCATCCTGCTTGGCAAACAAATATTTAATTGTAGAGTGGTCAGTAAAAACAGTTGTTTTAGACAAAATAAGGTAAGGATGAAACTTTTCAAATGCATAAACCACGACCAATAACTCTTTTTCAGTAGTGGTGTAGTTTTCTTCGGCCGAATTTAATGTTTTGCTCGAGTAATAGATGGGTTGAAAGTGCTTATCAACCCTTCGACCAAATATTTCTCCTAAAGCAAAGTCACTGGCATCACACATGATTTTCAAAGGTAAGTTCCAATTCGGGGCTATAATGATCGCGGCATTAGTCACTTTTTCTTTGAAAATTTGAAAAGATTCTAAACACTCTTTAGAAAAATCAAATGTTGCATCTTTTAAGAGTAATTGAGTTAAAGGCCTTGTTATTTTTGAAAAATCTTTGATAAAGTGGCGGTAAAACCCCATGTGCCCTAAAAAACTCCCAACGCCCTTCACATTTGTTGCTGGGGTAATTTGGAAATAATGTCGATCCTTGCTTGATCCACCTCAATCCCTGATTTGGAAACTTTGTGACCCAATATGATTCCTCCTTCACCATGAAATGACATTTTTCCGAATTCAAGACCAAGTTGGTTTTTTCACACCTAGAAAGCATCACATAAAGGTTAGTAAGACAATCATAAAAAGAAGAACCAAAAACAGAAAAGTCATTCATAAAGATTTCCATAAACTTCTCCACCATGTCATTGAATATGGCCATCATGCATCGTTGAAACGTGAACGATGCATTGCATAACCCAAAAGGCATATGTCGATATGCAAAAGTTCCACTTGGACAAGTGAATGTTGTGCTCTCTTGATCTCTTGGGTCAATGAGAATTTGGAAGTACCCTAAAAATCCATCTAGAAAATAGTAATAATGGTGACCAGATAATCATTCAAACATTTTATCTATAGAAGGTAAGGGAAAGTGGTCTTTGCAAGTGGCATCGTTTAGCATACGATAATCAATGCACACCCACCAACCGGTTACCGTTCTTATAGGTATGAGCTCATTTGTTTTCGTTCGTCACGACAGTCATTCCTCCTTTCTTTGGCAGCACTTGCACCGGACTCACCCATTGGCTATCGAAAATCGAATAGATGATTCCGGCGTCCAAGAGCTTCATGACCTCCTTCTTGACCACCTCCTGTATATTTGGGTTTAACCTTCTCTGATGTTGCACCACCGGTTTAGCTTCTTCTTTTTGGTTGATCTTGTGCGAGCAATATGAAGGACTAATGCCCTTAATGTCGGTGATATTCCAAGCAATGGTGTTCTTTCGTTTCTTTAGAACCTGCACAAGACTTTCCTCAGCGTTTGGAGCAAGATCACATACAATTAGAATCTGCTCTGAAAAAGGCGTGTACATCAACTAAACACGCCGTGTTTATTTCCTTTTTCTCGTCAGATCGCATTTTTTTGGTCCCCACACGTCGTGTTTATGTCCTCAACACGCCGTGTTTGTTCTTCAGTGTGCCTTGTAAGTTCTTCAAATTCACTTTCTTCAAGCAACCTTTCCAACTCTTCTAGGTCATTTTTAGCATCAAAATATCCTTCTAATAAGAACGTGAATCCCCCTGATTTATCTTCTTGCCAAATCGCCAATTATTTTTCCAACAACTCATTAAACGTGTCCACCGAGAAAACTTATCATCACTAAACCTTGAATGCTTCATTGCTCGATCTACTCCAAAGGTGATGGCATCTTCTCCTACCCAGAGAGTAAGTTTAGACTCTCTCACGTCCACTAGAGCTCGAGCGGTGCTTAGAAAAGGTCTTCCAAGAATTATTGGTACTTGATGATCTTCTTCCATGTCTAGCATGATAAAATCTGCAGGAAACACAAATTTCTCAACTTTAACCAAAAGATCCTCGCATATCCCTCTTAGAAACGTCACCGTATTGTTTTCTAGATGAATCGCAATGCGCATGGTCCTTGGTTTTGGAAGGTTCAACTTCTTGAAAAATGAATAGGACATAAGCTTGACACTAGCTCCTGAATCGTCCAATGCATAACTTGTAACCAAATTCACAAATTGACAAGGAAAAGTTAAACTTCCCGGGTCCCCCATCTTCTTTGGTAGTTTGTTCAACATTGCGGCTGATCAATTCTCGTTCAGTATCACCTTAGATGCCTCCTCCATCTTCATTCTATTGGTGAGAAGATCATTCAAGAACTTAGTGTAGTTTGGCATTTGGGCCACCGCCTCAATAAATGGAATGTTGAGTTGGAGGGCCTTGATATGCTGCAGGAACTTCTTATAGTCTTCATCTTGTTTTTCTTGTTTTGCTCGGCACGGGAATGGCAATGGAGGCTGAAATGTTTTGCCGACAACCACGTCGTGTTCTTCTCTTCACCACGATATGTTTTGCCGTCAGACTGATATTCTCGATTTTCTTCTTCTACTTCCTGCACAACCTTTGGACTTTCATTTGTAATTGGGGTCAAAGGAGTGACAATTTTTCCACTCCTTTTTGTCACTACATTGATGTGTGCCCCCCACGGATTTTGCTCGGTGTTGCTCGGAAGTCTGCCCGGTAACCGTTCATTGATTTGTTTAGCAAGTTATCTAAGTTGCTTCTCGATGTTGAGGATTGAAGCTTGTTGATTCCTCATTAGGGCTTGCTGATCTCTCATCATATCTTGTTGATCTCTCATTGCTACATCGGTTTCATCATGCCTCTTTTCTGACGCATATGCAAAACGGGTGAGCATTGCTTCAAGATCCGTCTTCTTTTCGGGCACCAGTTCGTCTTTTTGATAGTACCCTCTTGCCTTTTATTTGAACTTTTCCTCCTTGGCCTTCTTGTATTCATCATAGGGTAGCCATTCCTTTTTGGGTTTCCTCCAATCTTCGTCATAACGATCCCCACTTGAAAAACACATTTGAGCCTTCCGATTTCCATTCTCATCAAGGTCGCAATCCTTTGTTAGATGTGGACCGATATAGTTATCACATCCCACACGAATGGCATGGATGGATTGGTACATCTTAGTCATCCTACAATCCATGCTATCCAACTTGCCCATTACTGCTGCCATATCATCAGAAGTCGCATTTACCATCCCTCAGGTTGTGTCATTTCGAGGATTACGATATTCTCTTGAGTGTTTAGAGAATTCTTCAATTAACCCCTTTATTACAACTAGTTCTTTCTTCATCAGTGGTCCTTGGGAAACAAGGAGCTTCCTGGTTGTGACATTTACCCCATCATAGAAAATGCAGACCTCCTATTACACATTGATGTCATTATGGGGGCAATTTCTCAGTAAGCCATTGTATCTCTCCCATGCCTCATAAAGT